TGAACCTGGTCTCCTGTGTCTGAATGCAGCTCCGCTGACACAGTCTCCTCACCAGCCCTGGGGTCCAGGACCAGGCAGAAGCAGCGACGACAGGGGGCAGCACAGGGGGCAAGCAGAAGAGCTGCCTCAGCACCAGGTGAGCAGAAGAGCGGCCTCAGCCCAGGGAAGGCAGAAGACCAGCCTCAGCCCAGGGCAAGTGGAGGGGCAGCCTCAACGCCCATGAGAACAAAGGAGCAGCACCCACGAGAACAGAGGAGTGGCCACTGCTGGAGGTGACCTCAGTAAATGAAGATGACATTATAGGCAGCAAAAGGACAATGGAAAAGACTAAGGGGAGAGTCAACTATGTAATTAAGCAAACTGAGTCTACAAAACAAAAACCAAAATAAACCATTTTAAAAAATCATTGTTCTCTTACTGAAGAGGCTATCCATGAAGAGAGAAGGGGAAATCTCAAATTGTAAAAGTTAAGGAATTTTTTTTCTTTTTAACCATGAAAATACAGAGATGTGATATAAAGAGCCAGGAATGGATTCTATTTAAAGGATATTTTTAGGCCCTCTTAGGTAAGAAATTACATGACATTCCCCCTTTTTCAAATTAAAAATAAAAAGGAAAAGACTGCAAAGATGGCTCAGTGTTTGCCATGTGAGCATGAGGACCTGAGTCTAGATCCCCAGCATCTGCTTAGAAAGCTGGAGTGGCAGCACAATCCTTGTAATCCTGAGGCGGGGAAGTAAAGGTTGGAGGAGTGTTGAGGTGGAGAGCAACTGAGGAAGACAGCCCAATCTCAGACCTTCACATGCACTTACACATGCACATACTCATGAACACACACACACACACACACACACACACACACACACACACACGATTCACAAGGGAGAGATAGATAAAGAAAACTGATCAAGCAATGTTCTTAAGTACCGGAATAAAAGACTCATGATAGGAAGAGCACCTCTTCCTCTGGGATGGGGAAAATGCAAAAATAATGGGAAATGCAGATTAATTTTTAGAAAGTTTTAATTTGTACTATGGTTTTAGAGAGAAATACCAAGATACTTAACTATGAAGTAGGAAGTGAGTGATGTGGGGAATTTGAAGAAAAAAGAAAGTCTGCACTAACTGTTGAAAAACTAAGAAAATATGATAGACTACCAAAAAGCATCAAAAGAGAGCTGATTTTATATAAGCTAAATATGTCCTGCTATAGAGCTCTTTTTATGGTATTACTCTTCACGACAAAAGTAACTATTCTGCACAGGAGCTGAGACATAAAGCTGAGAGCCTGGGAACAAGCATCATTCATATAAGCAATCCAGAGACAGGAATAACTAAAAACAGGGACCACATGATACACACTGAAGAGCAGGAAAACTCAAGGAGAGGAAATTTTCAATAGGAATAAGAAAATGAGAGGGGTAGGAAGACGGAAAACTTTGGTAGAGCTAGACAATGAAGTTTAAGACATTAGAGATGTAGTTCAGAACACTGATGGCACGGCTCTGACAGAAGTGGGGGAAGTAGGGCAGAATAGTGACTGATGTGCAGAAAATCAGAGACTAAGGAGTTAGGATATCAGAAAGATTAGCTAGGCAGATGTGGGAGTCTGCTCCCCAAGCATCCATAGAAATACGGAGAACAGGAGGAAGAAGAGACAGACACTAAGCTATCCAATGCAGAAGAGGGAAACCCAGTGATCAGCAACCATTAAACATTTATCTACACTTTCCAGTTTTTATAGTACATTAACATTCAGCAAATAAATACAAAAACATGCACATAAGCTATAAAAAATGAGAAATAATTTATTGTTAATATCTATGTTTCAATAAATAATAATTGCATTTAAAATAACCTGGTAAAGGTACACCAGTTTGGAGAGAGTATCCACAATACATACAGCTGTATAAAAAATACATAAAGACTTTTACAGCTCAGCAATATATGGACAATGGAACCAGTTTTTAAAATTTGAATAGGCATTTCTCAAAAACATATTAAAGTGGATGTCCTAGTTTGTTTCTCTACTGCTGTGGCAAAACACTCTGACCAATACCAACTTGAGGAGGAAAGGGTTTATTTTTATCTTACATCTCCTGGGTAACAGTTCATCAGGGAGCCCAAGGCAGGAACTCAGGGCAGGAACTTGGAGGATGGAGCTGGAGCATAGGCCATGGAAGAATACTGCTTACTGGCTTGCTCCCCTGGCCCATGCTCAACCTGCTTTCTTATACAACACAGGACCACCTATGCAGTGGTGGTACCACCCACAGTGGGCTGGGCCCTCCCACATCACTCAACAGTCAAGAAGATGCCCCGTGGACATGGCCACAGGCCAGTCCTATGGAGGAAATTCCCCATTTGAGGCTCCCTCAACCCAGGTGTGCCAAGTTGACACTAAAGGTATCCAGCACAATTGACCCCTGTCAACCTGACACACAAACACATCACTATTAAACCATAACTTTTCCAATTCTTGTCCCCAAGATACTGTTAACACTAACATCACAACATAAGACAGTACAATCATAAAAGCCCCACAGACCTTAAAAAAATCCAAACACTTAAAAGTCCATAGTCTCTTTTAAAAGTCTCTTAACCGGGGGCTTCTGTGAAGTCCAAAACAAGTACTGTCTTATTTCAAAGGGAAGAATTGGGCACACGTAAGCAAAACCAAAGTCCAGCAAAGTAGCTTGAGGCTGGACATCTGGGATTCACTTATGATCTTCTGGGCTCCAAAGGGTTCTGGAAGCTCCACTTCTCTGACTCTGTTGTCCACAGCACACCTACAGCTCATCTCGCAAACACAAGCCAGCTCCTTTCCACACCTACTGCTGTCCTTGGTGGTCGACCCATGGTCCCGGCATCTCCAAAAAGCTGGGGTCTCTGCTGAAACTGAGGCTACACCTTCACCAATGGCCTCTTCTTGCCTTTGGGGTGCAAAGCCTCAGATTCTCTCCCTAACCCCTTCAATCCTGGGGTCTTCACTGCAACTGAAGCTGTACTTTCACCTATGGCCTTTCCTGGCCTGTCATGGTACCACACCTTGGCTGTTCTCTGTGATCCCTTCATGCTTTCAACACCAGATCCATGCAGGAGACTCTTACACATTACCAAGTCCTGTTTCCAGCTTGAGATGGAGGCTTGGGTTCCCTCTGTGTGCTGACCCTGAGGAAATACCTCCCAGAAGATTTCACCACAGTGATGCTGGTCTCTTGTTACTTACAGCTGATTTTCTAGCCTCAGCTAACCAGCATCAATTGTTCCAGTAAAGCAAAGGTTTTATTTCAGGTCTGCTCTCTTATTCACAGCTTATTCTTCAACCCCGACCAACCAGAACCCACAGATTCTCAATTCAAAATATTACACCAAAGCCCTGATAGTCTCCACTTCCCTTTGAAGCTTCACAAGCCAGGCCTCCATTGTCCACAACTCTTTCAGCATAACTGTTCCAAGCTCCACAGCAACAAACTCTTAGTACTCAATGGCTTTTCCAGTCCAAAGTTCCAAATGCTTTCACAATCCTAAAAACACCAAGGTCAGGTCTGTCACAGCAATACCTCACTTTCTGGTACCAAGCTACTTGGATTCTATCCTGTGAGCTAATCTGATAAATCCCTATATTCATTCTACTGATTCTGTTTCTTTACAGAACCCTAATACAGTGGACTATAAGCATATGAAAAAGTGGACAAAAAAAAGTTAATGAAAATGATACAACATGATGAAACTTCTACTATTACGCTAAGTGCAAAGTTATATACGTTAAAGGGCTGGAGAGATGGCTCAGCAGTTAAGAGCACTGGCTGTTCTTCCAGAGGACCCTTGTTCAGTTCCCAGCACCCACATGGCAGCTAATAACCATTCCTAAGTCCAGTTACAGAGGATCCAACACCTTCCTCTGGCCTCCAAAGGCACTGAACACATGTGGTGCACTTATACACATGTAGGCAAAACACACATAAAAATAAATAAAATTTTCTTTAAATAAAGAAACTATATAGATTAATAATTTATTGTCCAAGTTGTAACAATCAGGCCAACACGATGGCTCAGCAAGTAAAGGCACCTGTGGCCAAGCCTAGAAACCTAAGTTCAATCCCTGGGACCCATGTGGTAGGAGACAATGACTTCTGCTAGTTGTCCTCTCATCTCCAAATGTAAACACACATTCACACACATATGTACACAAAATAAATGAAAATGTAAAAAAAAGAAAAAGAGTAATTTAAATCTGAACAGTCTGAAGATTTTCAACATTAATGTGCCCACTACAGTGAGAAGTAGATAATCATAAAAGTTAAATATACTTAAAGAATCTAACAGAAGCACAGTTTAAATTTTTAAACATATTTTATTTATTGTTTGTTTTTATGTGTGTGAGTATACTCCCTACATGTGTGTAAGTGTGCCTGTGTCATGCAATGCCCACAGAGGTCAAAAGGAGGTACTGGATACCCTGGAATTGGAGTGACAGATGATTGTGAGCCCTGTGGGTGCTGAGAATAGAACCTGGTCCTCTGCAAGAGCAGTCAGTACTCTTAACAACTGAGCCACCTCTCCAGCCCAATGCAGTCTTAAATTTTTAAAACATATTGCACTGTTTCTTTTCTTTAAAAAGTTTTATATATTTAAAAATTATTATTATTATTATTATTATTATTTGGTCTTTTTGAGTCAGGGTCTCCCTGTAGCCCCAGCTGTCCTGGAACTCACTATGTAGACCAGGCTGGCCTTGAACTCACAGAGATCTGCCTGCCTCTGCCTTCCAAGTGCCGGGATTAAAGGCATGCGCCACCATGCCCGACTTCAAGCATAATGTAAAGAAACAAACATTAAACTCATTATATACATGTTTATTTTGCAAAAGAAAAAAACCTTATGCTAAGCATAAGAACCAGACCAAATAAAGACTGCATGTTGTAAATTTCCAATACAGGCAAACTTCACAGAGATAGGAGATTAATGGTGGTCTAGGGCTAGAGGCATGGGAAGGAACACAGGGAAATGACTGTTAATAGACACAATTTATTTTTGGAATGATGGAACTGCTTTTAATTTATGTTTTATGTGATGGTTGCACAATTATGTAAATTTACCAAAACTTTTAAAACGTAAGCAAATAAATTAACTAACCTGAAAAAGGGATCCTTTCTTATTGATCTGCCTCCATGTTTTTTCTCATAGTGTTGCAAGAGGAAAATCCATAGTACACACTGCAGGTAGGGCTAAGAGAAGAATATGGAACAGCTTATGACTGAATCAGCATTTTTTTTCTTTTCCAACAGAATCACAACTTACATGCATCAAGTTCTTTACCATAACCAAAACAATCCTCATAAATGTTTTGTGTTTGTCACGATAAAGATAAAAATAAGTTGTTTCATTTACTTTCTTGGTGCTAAATCTTGAATTCAGGACTTCACATACATAAAGCATATTATTCCATGAACTATACTCCCAGTCATCAATTTTAATACAAACTAAAGTTATTTTTTGTAAAATAATTCTTCATATATTTTCTACCTCTATAATTTTTATTTACTGTCAGTTCTATAACATATAATCACACACAAAAGCTTAGCCAGGAATGGTGGCCTTTGCATGTAATCCTAGAACTGAGGAAATAGAAAGATCATAAGGTCAAGGCCAGGCTCAGCTGAGATCCTATCTCACAAAGAGCAATAAAACAAAAGCTTTGTTCTTGTGTCTATGGAAGCCAGAGTTGTATTAAAACAGAATTAATAACATGGAAAAGCTAGGCATATTAAAGTGGGTAGTGTTGGTGAATTAAAGGTATTACTACTAAAATGCATACTGTCTAGCATTAACACATTTGACTTATGGGCTTGTTCTTTACAGAACAGGATAAAAATTAAAACTAACTAAAACAGAAACAACCAAAAACCACTGTTTTCTAATTTACCTTGTAGCCCAAGGATGACCTTATGTTTCTAGTCTTCCTGCCTCCACCTCCTGATGCTAGGACTACAAGTGTGTATCATCACATCTGATTTATACTGTGCTAGGGATCAAACCAAGGGTTCCATACGTGATAGGCAAGCACTCTTAACAACTGAGCTACATCCCTAACCAAAAACCCATTCTTAAGGGGACACATTAACCAAAGAAAATACTTTCTGCTATTTCTTACCATTATAAGAGCAACTAAAAGCCTATCCCATGGATCATAGGTATTCTCATTTTGGGGTATATTCTTCCAAGAACCCTAAGAAAAAAAATTTTATGATGTATAAACAGAAATATGCATTTTGGATTAAAAAATTTTAAGTTCTTTAAACATAAATTTGTGCTTTTTATGAATAAGTTGTTCCTATTAATAAATTACATTTTCTAAATCTAAGTTAAAATCTTCCTTGCCCTAAAATATTTCTATGTGTAGATATAAACTGAACACATTAAGCTTAAGGGAAAAAAATAATTATTAGGCAATACTAATTCAATAATTTACTACTAAATTTTAATAGAATATTTTTATTGTATGTGAATGAGTGTTTTGCTGCATCTATACAATGCAATGTCCACAGAGGCCAGAAAAGGGCATCGTATTCCCTAGAACTGGAGTTACTGACAGTTGTTAGTTGACATGTGGGTGCTGGGAACAGAACCCAGGTCCTCTGCAAGAACAGCCAGTGCTCTTAACTGTGGAGCCATATCTCCAAACCTTTATTTCATTTTTTTCTAATAAAATAATTATCCAAGTTCAAAACTAATCTGACTTTTTTCATCATATTTTCTTGGGAAAAAATATCTCACATTTTTCTCTCATTACTTTAAAGTATAATCATTACTCAATCTTTAAAAAACTCCTAAAAACAAAACTGGCTGAAACCAGATAATATATCGAATTACGCACATTAACTTGAGCATCAAAAACCATGTAATCAACACAGTTTTTCTCCTTTCACACCTTAGGTTAGACATACTTGAAAAGATCTCATGTTTAAATTGATATATTAATATTAAACAAGTAGTAGCTGTTAATCACGTGCACTTTACTATTTTCAGTACAAGAACTAAGATCTAGATTAAGGAATGTTTATTTATACTTTAAAATTTTTAAAACATCCAATAGACTCACCTTTATGAAAGAAATCAAGCAACCTAGGAGTGGGTAGATTGGAATGGCTATGCAAAATGTGTAATGAAATACAGCTGTAACTGTGTATCCCAAAAAGAAAGTTATTTCAGTGATTGCAATACAAGCCAATGCTGTCTAAAGAAGAAAAAGAGAGGGAAAAAAGTCACAAAAGGTTTAAAAATCAATCCTCTAACAAAAAAAGGACTAGAGATGATAGCCAGAAAGCAATAAGTGCATAGGAGTTGTTTGTCACTACCATCTTTTGTTAGTTGTTGGACACTCTGAACACCATTCCTTTGAAACGGATGAAGTGATATAGAAATATACTCACAGAAAGATGCTGATAGTTCTCTACATAAGTTCCCTACTTACAAAAGACTCATATTTTAGCATAATCACCTAAGAGCTCCTGATATGATAAGCTGATATGAAAAACTGAAATAGTATAAAAGTGTGACTTACCACAGAATAGATAAATGACCAAAATTCTTTGGTATTTAAAATTTTCTTAAAGGTGAATGAAGCAACGTATGTGAACAGAATAACTGATGGAACATAGCCTATAAGGCAAAAAACCTGTAAATCAGAAATGCGCATGTTTCTGTAAAAATATCAATAGTTGGTAACACAACATAAAACAGCACAACCATACTAAAATATTATTTCTCAAATGTTAGTCTTCAATGAACCATCCCCAAAACTAGCGCCTTAGCTACTTGAACAATCCATATCTCCATTAAATCAATTAAAATCATGCTTTTTATTAGTTTATACAATCTTAGGTAATTTAAACAGAACATTATTTGGAATATTTTATTCCAAGTAAAATGCTCTCTCGTTATTTCAGTATAAAAATCAATCAGTTGGTTACAATTGTAGCTTTCTCAAATATTAGCAACAATTTAATAAACCACACTTAAAATTAACATAACTTTAAAGATCATTCTATATGGTGTAAACCAATACATCAAGTTCAAATGTTATTATCTCTGGCAAAACATGTTTACTTTGTCTCCTCACGCCTAACTTGGTTTTTCCCTATTAAAAATCATTAATGAAAGAGACTCTTAGCATTTTCATGAATAGGAACATAAAATAGTTCCAAGTAATATGAATGTGAGTTAGATGTTTCCTTCATCTTTTCAGATAGCTTAAAATTTGGAAATAAACGAGTTTCTTCCTCGTGGCTTGAGAAAGGGCTCTGGTTAAGCATGAGGCAACAATGAGGACAAGGAGGACTGGAGATGGGACTCAGCATCCTGCAACAAAGCGGGTGTCCTGCAGATGCCTGTCATCTTGCTCTCAGGGAGCCACACCCTCTCTGGTCTTTGCATACACTAATGCAGATCCAGATGCAGACACAGACACGCACATGCACATACTCACATACACACACACAAAATAAATTAAGCTGGACATGGTGGTTCACTCCTTAAGAGGCACTTAAGAGGCAGAGGCAAGCAAATCTCTGAGTTCAAGACCACCCTGGTCTACACAGCGAGGTCCAGACCAGCCAGGGCTACACAATGAGACCCTGTCTAAAAATAATCATTAATTAATTAATCACTTAATTAAATATTTTTAAAAGATAAGAGTTATTTTCTTATAAAATTATGTTCAGGCATAAGAAAGATGTCACTTACTGAACAGAATACATTTAGGTATGCCTGATTACAAACAAGTAGGTAGTCTACTTGAAAGACCGTAACAGTTAAAGAAGTTATTTTTAAGTAGTGGTGGGTTTTTATTTTTTGTTTGTTTGCTTGTTTTTTAACAAAACACTGTGAGGCTAGAGAGATGGCTCTGGAGTTAAGAGCACTTCCTGCTCTTCCAAAGGACCTGAATTTAGTACTCAGCACCCAGATGGCTCACAACTAACTGTAAACACAGCTCCAGGGGCTCTGATGCCATCTTCTGACCTTTGCAGGCATCTATACACACATAGTATACATACATACATACATACATACATACATATATACACACACATAAATATAGAAAATAACTATAAAATCAACTGTAATAAAAATTGAATTAAATGTACCATATACAATAAAAACATTTTCTTCTGCTTTATTTTAAAAAGTTAATTTGCACATTATCCAACCAGACAGTTATCATATATATTTTTCAAATAATATTTTATCAATAAGTATTATGAATACAACTGAAGTCAACTTACCACAGCAAGGACTTTTAAAGCATAAAAATATAGTCCATGATGAAATGCAAATAAACTTCCTAACATCAAAGTAAGAACAATAAAAAACAAGGGAATATCCACAATGGCTTGTCCAATCCAATATGCAGATGGCAAAAGACCTGAAAGCTTAAATTGAGTGTAAGCCTTGATCTAAAAAGAAAAGGAAAAATATATTAAAATCTTATACATTTTACCAATAAAAAGTGAATAAATTATTTTAGAGCTTTTAATTTTATATCAACAAACCAAAAATAGCTCACATTTCAGGCACACAGGTAACAAAGGGCCTCCTGATACCAAATACAGACCTCATTTCAGCTCTTAGGGTTGTTTCTGAGATTTAACAATCTCAACAAAATTTTTGAGAATCAAAATATAATAAGATAAAGCAAAATCATTCATGAAGTTTACAGTTATGCCAGCAATGAGCAGCCAAAACACACTGATAGATAACTGTAGAAGTAAATGAAGATATGTGCAAAGGGAAAAGGAGTTTCTTTTCAATAAAAATCTGTAATAGGGAAGCTCAGAAACTGTCAATTATCTTCTGGATCTGACAGAATTTCAGATTATGTGTGAAACTCTGTGTAAAGAAAATAAATTTCAAAGCATTTTTTAAGTCTTCCCTAAGTCCTGCTGGCTATCAATCCTACTCATTTGATTTGTACCACTTATAAAACTATCTACTTATAATAATTTCAAATATTATATGAAAGATGAGGGCATAGAGTGAGAAATGGGAAACAAGAAACAAAAAGATCAGTTAAGAAGAGGTAAAAGGAAAATTCTGGACACACTTTATATTTAATGAATTACAGTAACATCAACACGTAAATTTCTAATGCAAGTACAAAAACTTAACCAAGTCAAATAGAATTATTCTCGATAATTTAAGTTTTCGTCATGAAAACTTAGAAAGAACCTCTGTATACTTAGCAATTTTTCCTAGGCTCTAGTGATGACAATTTTTCAACTTTTGTTTCATGCAGCATTAATTAATGACTTGTACATTCAATACATTACTAAAAGCTAAAAATTAGAGGCAAATAAGAGACTTTGGAGTGCTCAGCACTAAATGGGACACCTGTATCATACTCTCTCCTTCCAAGGCTCAGAGATCGTTGCGGAAAAGGGGGTGGAATGATTCTTAGAGCCAGCATAGGGGATGACCACATGAAAACAGTATTTTCCAGACAGCAGGGCAGCTGCACATATGAACCCACAGCACTAGTGGCAGTATGCACAAGACTTACTCAAGCTCAAGCCAGACAAGATCCCAGCTTTGAGGGGTGGAAAGGAGATGGGCATAAAGCACCAACTCTAACTGAGATACTATTGGCAATTGATAGCTGCTGGAAGAGGGAAAGTCAGTTTTCTTTAAGAGTATGACACCAGGTAGGCTGGGCTCCAGGGGACAGATCAATACCCAAGAGCATTTGGGGAACACAAATAGGCTTTAAAAAATAATAATAGAGGATATGAAGTCAAGGGGGAGTAAAGAGGGGATGGAGGGAGGAAGGGGGTCTGCATACACTCAAAATACACTGTATGGAATTCTCAAAGAATCAAAAATAATATTAACAAAAAATACAGACAGGTTAGTGTACAAAATCAAAAAGAACATATTCAATTCTTAAACATTTAAACAAGCTAAGTGACCCTAGGAAGTTATATGAACACTCTCATACTTGCTTTCTTGAACTATTAAAGTAAAATAAAATTTAACATCTCAGTGCTGTAAGGAAGAGAGGTCATAATCTTTAAAAAACACAATCAACTACTCAAGTAACAAATACCAAAAATATTACAACAGTATTTATACATTACTGACTTCTCCAAATTGAATATTCTTAAAGTTTGCTATAATACAAATAGGTTATTTTTATATAACACTTCTTACTAGAAATTGATATTTCTAATTTTATATATATATACACCTTTTTTTTAGGGGGAGGGTCTTTTTCAGACAGTCTCCCTGTAGCCCCAGGGTCCTGGAACTCACTATGTAGACTTGACTGGCCTTGAACTCACAGAGACTCATCTGCCTCTGCTTCCTGAGCACTGAGATTAAAGGTGTGCGCCACCACGCCTGGCTTAGTATATTTTTAAACTAACATTCAAAAATACTTTCTGACATTTAGTTATTTATGCACAAACACCATGGCATGTGTGGCGGTCAGAGGACAGCCTGTAGGAACTGGTGCTCTCATTCTACCATATGGGTTTTGGGAACTCAAACTTGAGAGGGTCAAGCCTGACAGCACCTGATACCTGTCTTTTTTTTTTTTTTTAACTGACTATTTACCTTATGATTCTCTGCATTTTCCATGGCAAAGTAAGGTGGCATGGCAGTAACGATGACTCCAAGCAAAGCTGCTTGGAAGTACAGCTCAACTTTAAAAACTATGTCAGTGATTTCCTGAAAGACAAACAGAGGACAGGAAATGAAACTGAGAGCTACGTTAGAATACCCCAGTACATTGTAAAGGAATAACAAAACATCTTTGCAAACACATTTGGGGATCTCCCCCAGGCTGAATGGCAGATTTATTAACAGGTGATGGTGGGCTATGCTACCAACTCTGTCACTAATTAAATACCTGTATGGTTCTAAACAAATCACTGAATTCCCATTCTCTTACAACACAGAATAATTTGCATAAAAATTAAGCTTCAATATTCAATAAACAATATGTGATACACAATTTGGATACATACCAGCTGTTTAACGCAATAATAAGAAATATCTAAGAATAGTATTTGGTACTTTTCACTGATTTTGTGGACTATGTTACAAATGGGATCTTGATCCTTTTTTCCCTAGCGAAAAGTTATATTCAAATTTATCTTCCTAAGGAACCAAGAAATTCTCCCCGATGGGGGAAATTTAACTCCAGAAATTCCAGTGTGCCTTGTTACCTCAGGGATTAAGGGAGCCAGCTGACTTTCCAGGGCAATCTGGCAAATAGCATCTAAATGTGGATTATCTGAGACCTAGGGTAATGTATTACCTCCTACCCTCAGCAAGTCCATTCTCCTATACTTGTACCCTGCTCCTGGTGCTAGAGATGGAACCCAGAGTTTTGCACTTGCTATGCAAGCACCTGCCAGTAAATTCCCAACTCTTCCCCACCCTTGTTAGGTAAGATGATAAACTCGGGCTGGAGAAATGTCTCAGTAGTTAAGAGCACTGGCTGCTCTTGCAGAGGGCCCAGTTCAATTTCTAGCACCACACTGTGGCTAACAACTGTCCAAAACTCCAGTTCCAGGGGATCCAATGCCCTCTTCTGACCTCCATGGGCATTACATGACACAGGTGCACTTACATACATGCAGGCAATATACTCATACACACAAAATAAAAATAAATAAAAGTTTTTAAAAAGATGATAAACTCATGGAGTAGGGAAGGTACTCTGCACTAGAACACAACCCACATTTGTGTCTAGGAAGCACCTAGCCTTGGCACACTCTTTCATTGGATAATGAGGAAACAGTAAACCACCATCCAGTTATTCCTGGCCTAATATATTTTCCTATATAGGAATAAGGCTAATTTTATAATTCATGACATGTGACCTTACAGAATTTGCACCAAACTCTAGGCCATGCCAATGAGAAAGGTCCACAAAGAATTCACAAAAGTTTGAATGGAGAAGTGGTGAATAAAAGGGAAAAGTGGGGCTGGAGAGATGGCTCAGCAGTTAAGAGCACTGGCTACTCCTGCAGAGGACCCAGGTTCGAATCCCAGCCTCACATGGGATTCAAACAACCATCCATAACTCCAGTTCCAGGGGATACAACATCTTCTTCTGACTTCCACAGGCACTGCACAACACGGGTGCACTTTCACACAAGCAGGCAACACACATTCATACATGTAAAATAAGAGTAATTTTTTTAAAAAAGGGAAAAGTCTGGAATAAAAGTAAAACTGTATCTAAAAACAATAAGCTTTAAAAAGTCCCATTTTGTTTTCTCCAGTTTCTACAAATGATATGGTTGTAGTCACTATCTGAAAGAAAATGGAAGAGATCTTTTGTAAGAGCTACAGATCCATACTGAAGTAATTGTGATTACTTCAGTGTACGAGAAAGAAATGAGATTGATAATAAGGGATTTTAATTGTATGTTTAAAGTTATGTTAATAAAAAATAAGCATTACAGGATATTAATATTTGAAAAGTATGGACAGCAGAGATATAGTTACTCTTTCTCTGTGGGTTTTATTTATTTATTTACTTTTATTTTATGTGAATGAGTTTGCCTGCATGTGTATAAGTTCATCACATGCATGCAATGCCTGGGGAGGCTAGACGAGGGTGTCCCTAGAAATGGCATTACAGATGTTTGTTAGTGGCCTGATGTGGGTGTTGGAAACTGAATCCAAGTCCTCTGGAAGAGCAGCCAGTGCTCTTAACTGCTGAGGCATCTCTCTAGCCCTTTTTTATAGGTTTTAACTATTTCACAATTGATAGAATTACAAGGGATGATTTCAGCATAATCTATGCGGTAGGAGCTATAAATATTTGTTCCTGTCCAGAAACCACTCCACATGCATATATCAAAAATACCAATTATACCAAGAAAATTCCACAAAGGTAACCAGTCCAGTAGGTTAAAAGTGAAATATATATTTCCATTCCACCAAAACAACTCTTCTATCTATAATCTCAAGATTGGTGCCTAATAACTACTGTATACCTAAAACTCTACAAAATACAAGACTCTTCCCATCTCATCTCACAAATGCAACAGTAATCAGGTCAGGCCCCTGAGTTTCAGCAGGGCTCTAGCACTGTTCCTAATGCCGAACTCAGACATTCATCTCTTCTCCTATCAACTCATCTGTTAAGATCTTCCTTAAAAGAAAAGATCATCTCTGATCTGATCTTTCCTTTCCTATACCCCAATTTCCATATGGAAATCTCTTTTCATCCTGATGCCAATAATCTTTCTAAAATGCCAATTTAGTATTTCTTTGTCCCCATGTCCAAGTACAGCCATAGCAAGAAAAGTACCAACTTAATCTTCAATATAATTACCAATTAAAGCTACCAAAAGATTTTAACAAACTAAACAAATTTTAGGTATAGATTAAACAGCCATGGTCATCTATACAAGTGAATGTGTTTGACTTTTCAGGCAAGGAATTTTCTGTTTCACAGAGAAAGCAAGCATATCTCCTCCACACCCATATTTTCCTTCTCTTTTATTAAGAGATGTCTTGCCTCTCTATCCTCTGTCTTCTCAGATCTGAATTCTCAGATCTGAATACTGTAACTTTAACTCCCTGGTCTCCACTAGATTGTAAAGGAACAGAGAACAGGAGGGAGAGGAGAAAGGAAAAAGAACAGTTCCCTGTAACTTCTCTCTCCCTCTGAACCATTCATAGCTAAAACTTTTGAAAGGTGTCTCCTTTTGCTCATATTGATGTACCAAGCCTCTATTATCTCCACTGAGTTCACTCTGGCCATCAATGATTTCCTTGTGGCTAAAGTCTGTAACAGATGTTCTCTGGTCTTGCAGGTGCATCATGAGACATCTTTCTGTCTGACCATAGCTTAGTGACACTGGCAATTACGGACCACATAGTTCGCAAACCACAAACGACGGCTGTCCTCCTCATCTGCTGCATCTTAATAACCACCAAGTCCTGATGTTTCTAACCCTCACGTCTCACCGTAATCGGTACTACTACCTGGGTTCAAGCTTCCACAGTCTCTCATTTGAACTACTGCCAACATCTCCAATCTAGTGTCCCTCTCTGTTGTTTTTCTCTTTTGTTGTTTTGTTTTGTGTGTTTGTGGCATGGTGCATACATGTGTGGTACGTACAGATGACTGTGCAGGTGCATACACTTGTGGGTGCATGCAGATGCCACAGAAGATACTGCCTTGACATAAGGTCTTTCACTAAACTGGAAGCTCACTACTTTGGCTACAATGGCTGGTCAGCAAGCTTCCTAGATTCAACTGTCTTGGGGTCACAGGTATACACAGCCATGCACAGCTTTTGCAGTGGGTGCTGGGGATCCAACTCGGGTCCTCCTGTTTGCAGAACAAGTACCCTTATTCACCGAGCCACTCTCCAGCCTTCTCTAGTTTATTCTCTCCCCTACATCCCCCACAGTATAGCTCAAGTTGTCTTAAAGCACTAATTTACTGGTCACACTTCTTACTTTTTTTTTGGTCTTTTTGAGACAGGGTCTCCCTGTAGCCCCAGCTGTCCTAGAATTCACTATGTAGGCTAGGATGGCCTTGAACTCAGTGATCCGCCTGCTTCTGCCTCCCGAGTGCTGGGATTAAAGGCGTGCACCACCACGCCCAGCTTTCTCTTCAGATCCTATAAATCTTTCGCCTTTTTCTTTTTTTTTTTTTTTTAACTCTTTGGGAGTTTGTTCCTATGATACATGTCAAAATGGAGTAGAATTCCTTGAGACAACACACAAGACTTTTCTTAATTTTCTAGGGCCTTGCTGTGATCTTAATTTTATACCTGATTATTCTTTCTCTCTCAACTAATCTCCTAATAAGTTATCTTTTTACGTGTTTTCCCCTCCACTTGTAATTCCTAGTTCCCCTTTCCAGAACACTAGTCCCACTTCACTCTTCAGGGAACTAACTGCTCTTCACATCTTCTCTATTGTTTCCCCTCCCTGATCCTATCCCTACAATCACAACTGCATTTGTACTAAATCCTTCCCATGTTATCATAAACTCTGTCCTTAATTGTGATATTTTACACACCTTACAGAGAGAGCGAGAGCGAGAGAGCGAGAGAGCGAGAGAGAGAAAGAGAGAGAGCGAGAGAGAGCGATTTCTCTGAGATAGAAGTACCTTTTACTCTTATAAGATAATTCTTGGTGGGCTTTTAGATAATGATCAAGAGGGCTGGAATGGAGAAAGAAGAGTAACTAAAAAGAGAGCTGAAATCTGGGCAGAGTGTTGCATGCCTTTAATCCCAGCACTTGGGAGGCAGAGGCAGATGATCACTGTGAGATTGAGGCCAGCCTGGCCTACATCATGGTTCTAAGTCAGCTGGGGCTTCAGGGAGACCCTGTCTCAAAAAGATGCCCCACCCCCCAGAAGGAGAGTTGATGACAAATATGCCTAAGTAATAAAGTCTCCATATAAATGCAGAAGGGATCTGACAGCTCAAAGGTTGATAAGCATATTTGTGTTCCATAAAGTTGATGTATCTCAACAAGAACTGAACTGTGTATCATGTCATATGACTGTTCATCTTTATCTTTTATTGATATCTTTTTTTAAATTTCTTATTATTTTTATTTTATGTGTATGTGTGTATTGCCTGCATGTAGGTATGTGCACCTGAGTTGTGTGATGCCCACGGAGGTCAGAAGAGGCTGTCGGATCCCCCGGGACTGGAGTTACGGACAGTTGTTAGCTGCCATGTGGGTGCTGGGATTCGAACCCGGGTCTTCTGCAAGAACAACCAGTGTTCTTAACCACTGAGCCATCTTTCCAGCCCCATGTTTATATCATTTCTTGACAAGCTAGTAAACATAAGCCATAAACTATTTCCCTAAGTCCTATGAGCCACTCTAGCTCACAGAAGAAATTCAAAAAATGGGTCACAGATACCCCCGTTTTATTGAAGCCTGTGGTTTAGAGGAACAGGTACGAACCTGGAGTTGGAGATTAGCACTCGAAATGCAGGTCATACTTGTGTGACTATGCCCATAACCTGTGAGGCAGACACTATTCCCAGACAGAAAGTGTCAGGATTGAGTCAATTACAGGATACCCAGCTGACCCTGCTAAAGAACTGCTTGTACCCAAAACATCTGATGCCAGAAGTACTGTATACAATGAAGTACAAAAGTTAAGAAAATCACGTTTCTTGTCTGTTGTATTATGCCTGCAGCAGTACGACCCTTGTTGCACTCCATTACTGCTTTTTCGTTTGCTTCCCCCTCTATATAGTAAGCTTCTTCATCTCTTGCTATCCGAGGAATCTTAGCAAAGTACATAGCTACTGCAAGCACTTAGGAAGTGTCTGAATTCATATTAAAAGTGGCAAAGAATTATTGAAAAAAATCATCTTTAACTTTGCAATCCTGCAAAGTGTATTATTAAAAATAGTTGACTGTAGTTGTATAGTGTACAATAATATGATTAAGGTGTATGGTTTTAGAAAAGACCCACATGGTGCACGGAGCAAACCAACTCCCAATAGTTGTCCTCTAACCTCCACATGCGTGCTCTGGCACATGTGCACCCACACACAAATACACAGGCATGGATGCAAAATAAAAATGTAAGTGGAAAATTTTAAAGCCTAGGACACAGTAGGATTAATAGATTTCTATACAAAAAACAAATTCCACTCTTATACACCAAAAAATTAAATGAAAATATATCACAGGCCTTACTGTAAATACTAAAACTACAGAAGCCTGAGAAAAACCAAAGTAAGTGCTTTTTTTTTTTTTTTTACTTTGAGTTTGGCAAAGTTTTCTCTTTTTTTTGTTTTTTGTTTTTGTTTGGTTTTTTTTTTTTTTTTTTGACACAGGGTCTCCCTGTAGCCACAGCTGGCCTGAAACTTTGCCCAGCAGGCAAAGATTTCTTAACAATGACACCAAAAGCACAAAAAGCTTACTGGGGAAGTAAGTGTAGGTCAATGACAGTGAGAAACCTCCTCATCCCCACTGCTAACTAGAATGGAAAGTAGTGCAACCACTTTGGGAAAGGGTTTTATAGTTCATCAAAACGTTAAACCATAAAGTTACCATAGCAATTCTACTCTAAAATACATACCAAAACAAGTAAAAACACATTATTGCATAAAAAGCTGTTCTCAAATAGTCACAGCATTATGTGTCAAGAGTCAAAAAGTAGAAACAATTCAAATGTCCACCAACTGATAATGGAAAAGCAGAACATGCAAGTACTCCATGAACGCACTGCATAACTGCACAGCAGAATGTTAGCAATGAGAGAGTACGTACTGATACATACTATATATGAATCTACATATACAAATCTACTGTATGCTAAGTAAAAGGTAGACACAAGATCACCTATGACTCCATCTGTAAGAAATGGCTAGAGGTCAGTCCAGAGACAGAAAGGGGACTAACGGTTGTCTAGGACAAGAAGCAGGTTTGGGAGGAATAAGGAGCTATTACAATGAGTCCAAAGGGTACGGGGAAAATAACAAAATAGATGAAATTATATCAAGAACATGACAAATTAATTTTACACTTTAAATGAGCCAATAAGATGGTATGTCAATTTTATTTCAATAAAGCTGTTGAAAAAGCTTAACATAAAGGAAAAATGTCATCACAGATATTTTCCTTATTTTTCTTACATGAGAAACAAACGACTGAGGGGAAAATAATGTTGAATATCTTTCTGAAGACTTAACGTGGCCTTGTTATACACAACCCAACAGTTCTTAGAGCAAAAATGGTTGTCTGCGTGACTCAAGATTTTTTTCAGTACTTCAATTAACAAGATTCCAAATAAAAATACATATTTTTATATTTTATTATTTTTATTTTATGTGTATGTGTGTATTGCCTGCATGTAGGTAAATGCACCTGTGTCATGCAATGCCCGCAGAACAGAAGATTCTGTTGGATCCCCTAGGACTGGAGTTACAGACAGTTGTTAGCTGCCATGTGGGTGCTGGGATTCAAACCCGGGTCTTCTGCAAGAACAACCATTATTCTTAACTGCTGAGCCATCTCTCCAGCCCATAAAAGTATTTTTTAACAATCCTCATTTTATCAACAATTACACACACACACACACACACACACACACACACACACACACACGCACACACAAAAAAAGCATTGTTTCACAAAAGTAGTATCAAACAGACTCTCTGATCTTGACGCAAACTAATCCTGGAGACTCCTAAACTCCCTGCCACGAGTTTCAAGATTAAGAGATTTCCAAAGATGGCTTTTTATCTGCATGTTTGCTTACTTGAATGAATGGCGTACTCCAGATCTGAATAGCTTCTGTCACATTCAAACGATAAAGATAGTAGTTACTGATGATATTCATCATTACTGGTAAAGAATAAACCATAGTACTGTTGAAAACAGCTGTAAAAATATAGTCCTAAAATTAAAAAAAAGTTATTACATACTTTGTAAATATAATATTACTAAAGATTCAAAATTTCTTGCCAACTTAA